ATAGAGGAAAATCGGACAATTGTTTTCTCATAGTGTGTACCAACCATAACAATGAATGCCACCACAGCACACCTTCGCACTTAACATGCACAGCCTGTAGGTAACCTTCACTACACATTATATTCTCAGTTTGAATTGCTAATGTTTGTGACAGGTTACACCCCTTTAGCACCTGATGGATAAATGCATGTACTAGCTATTGGGATTTGAGCACAGGTATCTCTTGTTTGTTGTATTGTTGGGTCAGTAGCCAGACCTGAACCTTGTAGCTCTCCCCCATTGTGTCTTTTCCCCTATGCTAGCATTGTGTCCACAGTAGCACTTGCATAGGCAGAGCAGAGTAGGACTGGCCATAGAGGGATTACTTTGACGCAGTTGGCCAGCTAAAACATGTATTGCAATATGTGTGAACCAAATATCCATATTTATTGCATAGTTTGCTTGAAAGGGTATATACCAGTGTGCAGAGGGTCCTTTAGAATTTCTAGATTTACTTAAGAGACATCTGATTTTTTGTATAAGAATGACATAAAGTTCTACATAACAATAGATCAATGTGACATCAAATACTTTAGCCTTAATTGCAGTTTGTAAGAAATTCACTACATAGAGCAATATAAGTGTTACAGCAAATGTCATTTACTTTAAGGAGTGAAATGACCACTGTACCAGAACTAATAACTAAAAAAGAGTTCTAACTTATACAATAATGTGTTTACATATTGTTTAGGTTAACCTATATAAACTGTTAGCAGGCATCAGAAGGCACAGAAACATACCAGTGGCTTGTCAAAACTGCGTTAGCATGTATCATTAGCTCCTGCACCCAAGGAATATGCAGCACACAATATTTACAAGAGCCCGAGGATATGCTTGTACTATGACTTGTAGCAAATCATGCCCTAGATTAAGTGACAGACTTCTGGCACACTGCTGAATGAACCAGAACTTCTGTGCTACCTGTTATCACCCAATAATGTCAGTATGCATAGGATTTTAGTACAAGTTCCCTTCATATAAGCATACCTCCCAATTGTCCCGGATTAGCTGTAACCGCCCCAAGATTTGATTTAAATCTTGGTGTTCAGGCAAATCAAGGCTGAATCCTGGAGACCAGTAGTCTGGGCTCCAGTAACTTGCCTACCAGGGGTGCACGGTCAGCAGTGGCCCCTGCCCCACATCTTTTGTGGAGGGCCTGGGGTCCCACACACCATGATCACTCTGCAGGCAGCCAGCATCTTTACCAAACGGCTGCCTTCATACTAACTCTCTGTACGGCTGGCTGAAGCCCCCTCCTCCTTAAATCTGGCTGAGCTGTGCTGATGATCTGAGGTCTGCATTAAGATTAATAATGGATTAGGGGAGAGGCACACAGTGACCATGAAGTGGGTGTGGGGGTAGGCAACAAAGATGTACACTTGGAGGAGTTTTTTTTGGGGGAGGATTTGAAATCTGACCCCCCACACATCCCCCTTCTAGCACAAGACCTCGTCCCTTCCAAAGTACCCCTTAGCATATATCCTCCTAACCCGCCCCCACTACCTCAAATCAATGAGATGCCAGCTGCCACAGAGGAGACAATCGTGGCGTCAGGGACTTAGGACATCTCACAAGAGATGAGGCTTAATTGCCCTGTGCCCAAACTGCCCCTGCCAGGCAAGTAAGTGGAGCCAAGTACCTGATCTTGTTCCAGCATTGGACTTCAGAACTCAGCCAGATTTGCAGGGCACAGGAGTTTTGCTCAAATCCCAGGAAGGCAGTTGAGAGGCATGGATTTGTATTAGGAGAGTATTTATGTTGGGGGGGGTGTTGTACTGGGAGGGGGGATTTGGGGAAGGAGGATTTTTGCTGGAGAGGATAAGGGGAGGTTGTGCTAGAAAGGTTTTGGGAAAGATTTGTACTAAAAGTGGAGAGAGGATTTGTGCTTGGAGGGGGAATTGAGGAGATTTGTGCTGAAGGGTTTGGAAGGGGGGGGGATTTGTGGTGGAATTGGGGGGAAGGGTTTATTTGGGGGGGGGTTGTGCTGTGAGGGAGGATTTGGAGAGTAGGATTTGTGCCAGAAGTGGGGATTTAGGGGTGTGTGGACTTGTGCTTGAAGGGGGAAGGACATTTTTGCTGGCAGAAGAAATGGGGGGGGGGGGGGGGATGCTGGGAAAAGGGATTCTTTCTGCTTTGTACTCCTGACTTCTACTATGCATTACACACTCCTGGCTCCTGCATTCTGTGCATTACATACTCCTGGACCCTGATCTTTGTGTATCACGTAGTCCTAAACCTGGCACTGACTACTACTCTGTGTGTTACATGCTTCTGAACCTTGAGCAATGCCCACCCTGACCTATGTATCCTAAACCCAACACTGACTGCAGCACTCTGTGCACTGCAAACCCCTAACCCCTGCACTCTGCCTTACAGACTTCTATACATTTTATACAGTTGTTATGCAGTCCCTGACTGGAGTATGCCGCCCAGTTCTGGCCACCAGTCCTCAGGAAGGATGTGCTGGAACTGAAGAGAGTCCAGAGAAGGGCAACAAAACTAATAAGGGGACTAGAGAGCCTGCAGTTATGAGGAACGACTACAAGCACAAACGTATCTTCAACATGGTAAAGTTCCTCCATCCTGTATATATACTCCACTCTATATATCCAATCTTTTATTTTTTGGGGTCTCCTGTACCTACCAAAATGTAGGGATCAGCCCTTTTGTTGCTTTTATTAAGTGAAATATCAACATATTCTTATGATCCTTCACTTTAATCTCAGATTTATGAAATAAAAAAACCCAAGGGTCTGTCAGTATACTAACCACCAATATTTCTTGTATATACTGGATTATTATTCGCCAAAACTCCTGAATTTTAGAGCACTCCCACCATATATTGTGTCATTGTTCTCTTACTCCCATATCCCCTCCAACATAAAGGTGAAATCTCCAGTCTTGGTTTAAGAGCCACACTCTGTGTGATATACCATCGAACCATAAAATTATAATTCATTTCTACAATATTCATATCCATTGCCCTGTCTTATCTATCGCCTTATCTATATCACCTTAAACATTTTCTTTTTTTGTTGCTGATTCATTTTTGTTGGAGGAGAAACAGTTTAACCTTAAACTGCATAGGAGGTTCTTCACTGTCAGGGCAGTAAGGATGTGGAACTCCCACAATCGGTGGTGTCAGTGAGAAGTATTGATAGTTTAAAAAAAAACTCTTGGATGGGCTTCTTAGTGAACACAGTATACAGGGATATAATTTTTTAACATGAATGCACACTCCCACACAGGTGGAACCGGATGGACTGGTGTCTTTCTTCAACCTTACCAACTATGTAACTATGACTATTTTAATAATATCTTTGTGAAGGTAGTCTCATACAAAGTTTTAGCACTCTGCAAATTTTTGGTGTGTGCAAATGGACATTTTTGTATTTTTTTTTTAAATGATTGTGCTAGGGTTTGTATATGTCTGTGAGACTTTTGTGTGTGGCACAGCAATCAAAGCATATTTTATAGGTACAAGGAAGCTTTGATTTTGTTTAACTACACTCCTTAAGACCCTCCCATTGTTAACAACTTGACCACACCCACTTTTTACCATGAAACACTGTGTATGCCTCTGGTCACTGCCTCCCTCAAGTGTCCCTGGTTCTGAAGTTCAAAAGTTGGGAGGTATGCATCAGTGGCGGACTGACAACTCATGGGGCCACCGGGCAATAGGGGATCATGGGGCCCCTGTGTCCTTGCCCAAACTCAAAAAAGCCTATGAAAAAGGTACCAGGGGCATCTCATGGGGCCCCCTACTGACCCCGGGCCCTCGGGCAGTGCCCGAGTTTCCAAATGGTCAGTCCGCCCCTGGTATGTATAAATTAATCTATAATAAGATAAAAGATGATTGAATTTGACATTTTAAGCTGGAATCTGAACTTGTCTGGGTTTCTTTACCTTTTGCATACTTTTTATCTGGTATGAAATGTTCTGAAGCTTTAATAGTCACTTATAGCTAATTTAAAACTTTGGACTAGGAGGCAGGTCTCAACTCTTCTGCTCCATAGCATGTCTGGCTCATTCTACCTACCAATTTCCCTGCTGGGGTGGGGTTGGGAGGAGTGAGACAAGCAACAAGTAAACTCTGCAGGCATTAGCAACTTTTATAATTAAATATCAAAGAGTGCAACAGGAAATTGGAAAATCTATTGGCAAAATGGAAACCTTGCTAATTACACTGCTCTATTTCATTTGTCCAAATGTTTCAACATATTCTTGTCTCTTACACCAAGATAAAGCCAAACAATGTTTAAAACAGACAGGTCCAGATACTGTTAGGATGAGGTACTGAACCCATGTACTTGACATATGCTGTAAATGATTGCAGCTTGCACTTTTAATATTTAGCCTCTTTCATATCTCACTTTATGTATGTGACATCTACTACCAAATTTGGCTGATATTATATATATATATATATACCTGTGCAAATATTTTACATCTGTTTACTCTATTAAAATTAAAAGCATATAAGTGTGGCTGAGAATTTTAGTCTCCATAAAACAGATGATATTTCACATGGTGCTGTACAAAAAACATAACCAACTTGTCGTCTCATTGCATTACATTGTAGCTAATGTCACCTCTAGCACTTGTAACATTATGGGGGGTTATTTACTAAAGCTGGAGAGTGCAACTCTGCATAAAAATAAATCAGCTTCCAGGTTTTATTGCCAAAGCTTAATTGAATAATCTGAAATTAGAAGGTAACTGGCTGCCATGCACAGCTGCACCAGATTCTGAGTGCTCCAGTTTTAGTAAATCCCCCCAATACATAGCTAAAGATAAGCAGGAGTGTTAAAGAAGATCCTTGTTTTAACCAAAAAACAGGATATTAACTTAAGATGAGTAGCTGTTTATATACAGTAAATGAAAAAAATAAAAAATAAAAATGAATTTGGGTAGCTATTAAATTAGAGTCTAAGAACTGTACCTTTATAGTACACCTAAAAGCAGCGGCAGACTGACCATTCGAGCACTCGGGCACTGCCCGAGGGCCCGGGGTCAGTAGGGGGCCCCATGAAATGCCCCTGGTACCTTGTATAGGCTTTTTTGGGTGTGGTTTGAGTGTGGGCAAGGACACAGGGGCCCCATGATCCCCTATTGCCCGGGGGCCCCATAAGTTTTCAGTCCGCCCCTGCCTAAAAGCAAAGCTTTTTCTGTCTAATTTGGATAAAGTAAGGGTGGGTTACTTAGAATTTTTTAGATTTCATTTGTTCAGCTCACAGTCTTAACAAAACAAATCTATGCATGTATGGCCAGCCAGCTTAATCTGTAGTATATGAGGATCAATGACTTGAATGTATGGATGGCAGTTACAAGCATCTAAAAAATTCTTGTACCAACAGAAAGTTCTAGTGTGTGTTTTTTAATCTTCCTTATCTCTTAATAGCTGTATATCAAAGTAAATATTTATATATAGTATGTATATATATATATATATATATATATTTTTTTTTTTTTTTTTTATTATATATATATATATATATATATATATATATATCATTAGTTACTAGACAATACTTTGTGCTGAGAAATATCAGCCTAATCATAAACTATTTACTTTTGATTTCTCTAAAGTAGTCAAATTCTCCTCTGAAAAATAGTACAGTATATCTTGCTCAGCATATAACATAGCTTGTAATGTGCAGGGATTGATAAGTACCAATATTACACTGATAATATCTAATACTGCCATCATATTATCTATATTATACCACACTTAAGTAAATTTTTTTTTTACATTTTAGTTATATGGTATGCTAAATCTTTCCAAACTTTAAAAGAAAACATTTTCACATAGCTGCATTTGACCACATTACAAATAACATTTTATATGATGTTTCTATGTGCTAATCAAAATACACCAGACACTACACCCTGCAAATGTACATTTACCGTACCCTAGGAATAATTTACAGGATCCCATTATTTATGCATGTTTTTTCCCATAACAAACTGCAGTTCTGGCCCTGTTCTGCGGCACAGTACTGTTTTACAACAGCTCCGTGAACTTTAAATGTGTCTTTAGTGAGTTTGAGGGAAACACTGCACAGCATCCTATTTAAACACAAACATGACGTTGTTTCATGCAAATCCCAATTTCACTTTTTAAATGGCATGTGGGAAAAATTAGAAAATCCTTACTCGTATATAGAAGTACAAAAGAACCAGGAGCTATGCATTCATATGTATATTTAATAGGTTTTTGTTCGGAAAGCACATACCCACTGACTTCAGAAATTTACAATAACCTTTGTGTTTTTCTGAATGGCAGAATCTCCTATTTTTGCATTTCCCCAGCTGTCTATAAATCCATTTCCTCTCCTATAATCAAGACTCTGAGATTTTTACAGTCCCTTTGACCACTTCTGGCATCATTTTTTTTATAGTTTTCAAACTTATACTGATCACACTTTACCACATCTGCTTCTTGGGTTGTTGGAAAAAAATCAAATTGTTACAAGCCAAAAGGGCACTATAGCACAGGCAGCTGTTCTGTACCATTTCTGTTGTGATACTGCTTAGCAAAGCATTGCAGACCACTGGATTAACCAGAACCTTCCCATGAAAATAAAATAAAAATTATTTATGCAGGCAGAAACATTTCTATGGAAAAGCCCAACAAGGAAAAAACAATTTGCACATGTTTTACTTGCAAAGGAAAATGTACTCTGGGGTGACTGAATCTCATAAACAGTACAGCCAAAGTAGCCAGAACAAGCAATATTGTAAGAGAATATGCTACATTCTTTATATAGTGCTCTTGCCGTATTTTCATTCATATTGTACATGTTTTTCAAACAGAATTAAACTATAGCAAAATGCCTGTATACAAAGGCAATGGAAGAAGTGTATCCACCACCTGTTGTTGTGGTCCATGTAATGATCTTTCACCACTCATCCGGCTGGGGGACGGGCTTGAGGAATCTCAATTATGACATAGCACCCATATACACTGTTGTTGACTCACAATGAGAAGCTGATATACCTCTTGTATGCACTTGTAATGAGCCATTTAGCTCAGTGCACCTATTCTGGCCTGGGATTGCTTGGCAGGTGCCAGAATTCTGTTCCGAGTGACCTATTTTGACATGTGTCTAATTAGGGCCCACAATACAGCCATAAATATCACATGGAGCTAAACTGCTATGAAAGTATATGACTACAAAAATATATATTTTCCTTTAACTACTTGCCCTCCAGAGGATTTACAACCCTTCCTGACCAGGCCATTTTTTGCTATACGGCGCTGCGGTACTTTAACTGACAATTGCGCAGTAATGCAACACTGCACCCAAATTAAATTTATGTCCTTTTTTTCCCATGAATAGAGCTTTATTTTGGTGGTATTTGGTCGCCTGTGCGGCTTTTATTTAAAAAAAATACCGAAATTTTAAGAAAAACAATATTTTTGACTTTTGTTTGCTATTAAACATGTCCGGGAAAAAAAATTTAAAAATCAAAATTCGTCATAACTTTAGGCCAAAATGTATTCTGCTATATGTCTTTGCTAAAACAAATCCCAATACGTGTAAATTAATTGGTTTACGTGAAAGTTATAGCATTTAAAAACTGGTGGTATATATACTGGGATTTTATTTTTAATTTTTACTAGTAATGGCGGTGATCAGCGAATTATGGCGGGACTGCGGCGGGCATTCTGACACTGATTTGGTGTCACTGACATCCCAAGTGACACCAATACAGTGATCAGTAAGCACTGACACTGTACTGACAGTGGACAAGAAGGGGTTAACATGTGGGGCGATCAAAGGGTTAACTGTGTGCTGTTTTAATGTAAGCTGTGTGTGTGTGCTTCACTGTAAGAACACTGCTTTGCATGGCTCTGCTATGCAAAGCCATGCAAAGCAATATGCAGGAGTTGATGGGAGAGAACCGTATTGTTTACTTACAGTTGTCTCCCTCCATCGGTAATGCTCCTCAGTCGGAGTGCCGGACAATAATCACCAGCTGGGACCCGCTGATTGACAGCCAAGGCCACGAACAGCGGCACAATTACGGAGCGCGCACGGCTTGCGAGTGCCCCCTACACGGGCATGCAAAATCACACACACACACACACACACACACATACACATATATATATATATATATATAACATACATGATTTTGCACACCCATGCTGCCCTGTAGCAGTATATCTGCTATAGGTCAGCGAGAAAGCAGTTAACACTCATGTGTAAGCTGGTATCCTATGAACATTGATGTTCTATGACCACCACCAGCACCAAGCATATCACTGTACTAACACTGGAACTAAAAAACATAAATTAACATTACTAAGTCCAAAGATCATGCTTTCTTTTCACAAGGGGAGCCCCAGGGTCTTGTGGGTATTGGACAATGGACATCTAATGGCTTTAGTTATCTTTATATCATAGAACATAGGATTCCAAGCCTTCTAAACAAAGGGCCAGTGAGAGGAATAGTGTCCTATGGGTCAGATAAAAACAAGAAAAGGGTCGCAGTTTGGAGACCATTGTCAGAATGTGTGTCAGCTATCAAAAGGCTACTGTGTTCCTATGTTGTGTTGTGTTCCTAAAATGGACTTGCAAGAAAGAGTATATTGAACTAAAATTAAAATATTCTCAGTTTTTATATATAATTCTAAACTTCATTTAGTTTGCTGTGAGGAAATTTGACATGACCCATGAAAGCCTATCCCAGGAAAGTCCGATTTTTTAACCTTAATGCCGAGCCATCTAAAGCACATTTATCCCTGATCCTATCACAAAAATAATCTTCATAAAGTGTATCTAAACCCAAACACAAAAATGCAATATATTACAGCTTTCAAGCTTTTTCCTGTTATTTTTACCTGGTGATTCTGCTGGTAATACACTTCCTGTCATTGGATGACAACACTCACTTACCTTTCCATATCAGGACAACAAAAACAAGATAGGACCACCAACCACACCCTTCTCTTAAGCAAGCCATAAATTACACAATTTTCTTTCCTTTGTGAATGGGTGAAAGGAAAGACAATTGCTTGATTCCTCCATCAGCACAGTCAGTGTTGATGGGGGAATCCCTCCTGCAGCACTACTGTGTTTTGCCAGCAGAGAGCATTCCCAGCCGACAGAATATCATGATCACTACTATGGGCTATAGCCGCCAGCAGTGATCACATGCAAATAATGCGAAAGGCTGGTTGTACTGAAGTAGATTGACTGATTGACTTCAGTACAACCAGCCTGCCTGTGGATGGATCGAATCTCAGGTGGTCCCTGCTGTGAGCCGGCTGAGATTAGGTTCATCTATGGCCAGCTTCATTCTTTTTAACATAGAAGTCCTTGGAATTACAATCTTCAGAGCTAACTATGAAGCACGTAATTGATAATAGTCAGTGCAGGCATAGAGCACAGTACTACCACGGAGCGCTTTAAAGTGACAAAAAATAGTGACATATAAACGCCTCCACATATTCTATTATTATTATATAATAGAATATGTGGAGGAGCTACGAATTATCTGCACACATTGGATGAGATAAGCACTTAACTTATCTAAAGAAGAATTTATGTGGACCTTTTACGTTTATATTGTGCGTTTATGTCACTATTTTTCGTCCACATAGGACGACGCACTGCTTTCACTTTATTGCGCTCCATGGTAGCGCTGTTGCACTTTATCACCAATTACTGTCATTTGAGAATATTATCATTTTAGCGCTGCAATTTTATATATGGTTATTTTTAAGGATTTAGAGGTTTTTTTCTTTCGCTAGCTGCTCTATTATATTGTTTTATATATTTAATAGCGCTCGCTTGAACATTATTATGTATAGAGCACAGTACGTTTTCAGCTGAGATTTCTATCAGGATCAACAAATTTCTTTTTGAACTTATTAAATAGATACAGTATAACAAAACACTTTCACTGCTATAACCAAATAAGATCAAATAAATGTTAGGGCTCAGATCTGCTTTAACCTTTTCCCGCCCGGCCTATGGCCAGATGGCGACCGGGGCGAGCACCTTGCCGTTCCAGGTGGACGCCATATGGCGTCCTTTTGGGCATGCGCAGTTTGTGTGCACCCACAGAACCACGCAGCGGCGCGATCTGTCACCGGCCATGTACCTCAGACACGGCCGATGACAGATCTGAGTACCGGCCCCGTTGCTGGTAAAATGTGACCTGCTGTGACCAATCACAGCAGGCCACATGACAGTTATATACAATGGATGGCTTCATTCATGCCATCCATTGTATACTAGTGTGCCTAGCTGTGAACGGTCACAGCGATCACATGCATAAGCTGGGCCAATCACAGCCCAGCTGTGTCATGTGATTAGCTGTGGCCAAATCACAGCTAAGCACAAAAAAAAAAAAAACCCTGAATGAATCGATGTCATTCAGGTAAATGCTTGCTTATAGCAAAGTAATTCTTTGCTATAAGCAAATAGTGTAAAAAAAAAAAATAATAATGATCACTTCCCCAAAGTAGTACAATGTTACTATGGTAACATTGTACTATTTTGGTCATAGTAAAATATGAAAAAAAAATCTTAAAAAAAAAGAAAAAAAATGTAATAAACAATTAAAACTAATAAAAAAAGTAAAAAAAAATATAATTTTAAATTTTTTTTCATACAGTGTCCCTGATCACCGCCATGCTAGTTATATGATGATGCTGTACTGCACTGGTGACAGTATGTAAAAAAAAATATTGAAAATAATTTTTTACATTTTTTCATTTTCTGAAAAATTATGACAAAAAAATAATAAGTTCAAAAAACTCGCCATGCCTCTTATAAAATACGTTGGACTGTCTACTTTACAAAAAGGGGTCATTTGGGGGATATCTGTACTGTTCTGACATTCTTGGCCCTCAAGAAATTGGCTGTCAGTACTTCAGGATTGATCAATATTCAGATCTATACCATAGTTTGTGAATTCTATAACTTTTCTACAAACTAAATAATGAATACATGTAGTAGAATACATTTTGGCCTAAATTTATGAAGATCAATTATTTATTTGCAAACTTTTATAACAGAAACAAAGAAAAACGTGTTTTTTTTTTAATTTTTGGTCTTTTTTTGTTAATTTAGCAAAAAATAAAAACCCCATCGGTGATTAAATACCAAAAGAAATCTCTAGTTGTGTGAAGAAAATAACATTTTAGTTTGGGTACAATGTTGTATGACCACGCAATTGTCATTTAAAGTGGCCTGGGCAGGAAGGGGGTAAAAGTGCCCGGTATGGAAGAGGTTAAAGATCTTTTTTCCTCCAGCAGCAAAAGGAAGAGATTCCTGCAGGGCTACGCCACACAGATTCTCCCTACAGGTCTAGAGGGAGCATTTGAGAGACTGGTCAGCACTCAGTCGGCTGATTCATTATCTATAAAAGGAGCCTGGAACTGCTTGAAGAAGTGGTTGTAAAGGCAGGACATTTTTTACCTTAATTCATTCCCTGCATTAACCACTTCCTGTCTGTCCCATGTACATAAACGGCCAGACGAGAGCAGTGCTGAAGCGGGTGGACATTTATAAACAGCAACCGCATTCACTGCCTGGGAGTGCGCAGCACCGTGATCCAGAGTCTGCTGTGTCCTCCGGACATAGCGGAACACTGATCGCTGTATGGGACCTCTGTGTGAGGTCCCGTTCATGTGATCACTGATTGGCCAATCAGTGATCACATGAATAGTAGTAAGCAAGATGTCACTTCCTCACATCATTGCATATTACTAGTAAAATATGTGAATGATCACAGAGGTGACATGGTACAAGACTATTCACAACAGCCTTATACCATGTGACAAGCTGTGACCAATCACAGCTCTCACAGTATTTCTCAATGGCTGCAAGAATGCAGCCAGAGAGAAAGAGAAATGATTGCTTTTACAGCCTTCATGGGTCTAAAAGCAATCAGTGTAAAACAAAACAACAAAAAAAATCTTCATCGCCCCCCACAAGTAGTATAGTGTCACTATGGTGACACTGTACTGCTAGGGTGACAGTACGTAAAAAAAAAAAAAAAACATAAATAATAATATAACAAAATAGAAATATAAAACAAATTTTTGAAAAATTATAATGTTTGGTTATAAACTAATTTGGGTTATTTTTTTTTTACTAAAAAGATAGCTGGATACATTTTGGCCAAGATTTATGAAGAAATATTATTTATTTGCAACATTTTATAAGAAAAACACTTTTTTTCAAATTGTTTGGACTTTTTCATTTATATAGCAAAAAAAATTAAAATCCCAGTGGTGAATAAATACCACCAAAATAAAGTTTTATCTGTCTCAAAAAAATGCTACATAATTTATAAGGGTACAGTGTTGCATGACCGCACAATTGTCATTCAAGGTGTGATAGCAATGAAAGCTGAAAATTGGCCTGGACTGGAAGGGGGTGAAAGTGTCTGGACTTGAAGTGGTTAAGGTAAAAAAATGTCCCAGTGGCTGTATCGCCCCCTCATCCCCTTATACTTACCTATCTTGAGTCCTATCTTGATCCAGCACTGTGCCCAACGGCAGAAATGCTGCTCTCTTTTTCTCTCCTCACAGTGAGATTCAGTGAGAGCAGCAGGGGCCATTAACTTCTACTGCTGTCAATTATGTCCTGAGAGGAAGGATCGGGGGTGGGGCCAAGCAACACTGTGTGTCAATGCACGCACACAGCCCAGCTCGAAAGCAAGCCCGCTGGTGTGCCCATATAGGAATCTGCTTCCTATGATGGCACACAGAGAAGAGGAGGAGCATAAAGCGCCAGCGGGGAACTCCACAAGAGGCATTTTGGGGCTGCTCTGCACAATACCATTGCATAGAGCAGGTAAGTATAACATGTTTTCTTATTGTAGGAAAAAAAGTATAGCCTTTACAGCTGCATTGAATTAAT